GGCAGTACAGTATCTAGCGCTGACCCTCAATAAGCCTTAAGTATATGCAAGAATTTGTATATTCAGGAGTCAGATAAGACTTAAGTATGTGCAAAAAATAGACACAAGTGTGATAAATAACTAAAATAATAGAATTAGGTGCAATAGAAGCAAGACCGAATTTAGCAAAATAACTTGTCTTTTGTCACCAGTCTCATGACAGATGATATTGAAGCTGCTGAACTTTTTGCAAATAAATTTATTGAACTCACTAACAGTGAAAGGTTATCTCCACAAATTTACAATGCTGATGAAACTAGTCTTTTATGGCAATATGTACCACAAAATAATTAGGAAAATTCTACAGAAAAGGGTCCAACTCATGTCAAAGATTCCAAAACAAGACAATGATTTTAGCATGCGCAGTGCTGCAGGAATGCATAAGTACAAGCTTTTCGTAATTGGAAAAAATACAACATCGAGCATTTAAAAGAGTAAAAAGTTTCCCCTTTATATAACGTGCAAATAAAAGAGCATGGATGACACAAGCGTTAATGAATGTGTGGTTTGAAAATCATTTCATACCCGAGGCTCGGCAATATTTGAATTTGGTTTGTTTACCTGATGACGCGAAAATTATTCTGATTGTAACAGCTGTACAGCTCATACTTCACTTAAAGTTTTAGTGAAAAATAATTGAAATGCAAATATAAAGTAGCATTTTTAAAATCCATGTTAAATTTCTTGAATTATGGCAAAAATATTTTTGCATAAAATCTGCTGTATGGAGCATCGGAAGATTGTGGGAGAATGTGTCTTCAGATACTTAAAAAATACTTGGCATAAATTATGGCCAGCGATCATATTTCATGGTGAGACTGATGAAGATGGTAACGGCAAATTTGAACGTTTTCGAATACTGCAAACCAAAGATGAAATTTTCGAATTAATAGATTTGGTAAAGAATTCTGGGGAAGTGGTAATAAATGAAGATAATATAACAGACATTTTTCATTGCTATAATAATGCCCCAATCATCAATCAATTAATGGGGGGCGAAATCTGTAGTATGGTTCTAAATCTGGAAAATACTGCAACCGATAATGAAGAAAGTGACAGAGAAGTTATTGAAAATGAAACAATTTGGACTGATAATTTAGTCGGAATTATCGACACAGCAATTACAGAACTTGAACAAAATTAAACTTTGTAACTGAGCAAGAAACTGCCTGTCTATAGAATTAGAAATTATTAGCAAAAAATTAAAGCAACTCAAACAACTTACATTGAAAGAAATGTTTAATGAAGTAAACAAATACATTTAAGGCTTCTTTTTTTTTTTTTTTTTTTTTTTTGTAAATTCTTATACTTTTTAGATCATAAATGCTTCATTATTTCATAAATCATGATTTTACATTTTTTATTTTATAAACTGATGATCTAATATCCGGAATCGCTGAAGTCCCGATGAGTCCGGATCTTGGACTCAAGATCAATCTGAAGATCTTGGACTCAATTGTACTGCATTAGGTAATTTTTGAAGTTGCAGAATATCAGCGGTGCTTCCCGAGATTGGATCCCTCCAATTACTCGCCAGATGTGCATTCCAATTGCACCATGAAGCCATATGGTAAGAAGAGAGAAAATATGTTATTCTCTGATTCTACACAAAATCCTCCCGAACAGCTACCAATGGTTGGTTAAGTTTTTGCCAACCAAAAATGCAAAAGACAACACTTTTAAAAATGACAAAAAATGCTAAATTCTGCATAAAAAAGCAACCAATTAATAAAATTACAAATGCAAGAAACATCCATTAAAAAAAAAAAAAAAACTTTCGCCCTGCTCTTCTCGCCACGTTTCTGCTTTAGCTTAAAAAAACATCAGACTTGCAGAAATATGGCACTGCACACAGTATCATTTTCCCATGTGCACAGCTGTTTACACTCAAAAAATCATCAGAGAATAGAACAAATTTGACATTCTACACACTTTTTCCCACACGTTTTCACTTAAAATATATCAGAGAATGGCACAAATTGCAGTATCAGAGCACAAATCAAATCGCCTACGAAGTACAGCTTCATAAAATGAGACTTTTCATCAGCTGTTAAACTTCATTGTTCATTAAAGATTATTCCTAAAAAGGAAAAAATGCACACAATTATCAAAAATTAATCAGAACAAGTACCAACCAGAAAAATGACTGTTGAATTTAAAAAGCCAAAATCCACACTCTTGACCTGCGCACACCTAATACCTTTCTGTGATTACTGGATGTTTATCTTGGTGGCACAGAACAATGCCTGGTGAATTCTTTTCAGGCTTGGGCAGGTAATCAGAAAATATTGGAAATACCTTAACAAGACAATTGAAAAATTAAGACCCATGATCAATAAAAGACAGCTTCAGTAACATATGCCATGCTTTCTCACATTTTTTTTCCTTTTATTTAACTAATTTTATCATTTAAAAATGAAGGAAGGAAAATTACGAAAATTTAATTTCCGAAAAGAACATGGTTACAGTAAGAACATAAATGAAAAATAGCCATGGATAAACTATAGGTAACTATTACAATATTATTCCTTTAAAAGAAACCTATATTCCAATCTGAATAAAATGTAGTATTAACATTAGAATATCTGAATTGGACAAGTTGTACTTGTGGCTCAATTACCCTGCAAAGCTCTAGAGGCACCTTATATGAGTGAGTCTTGCCCACAGTTCCCATGACGAACATCGAAGGAATGAAAGAAAAGGGGATGAACAAAAACCTTGTATTTCAAAAGACTGAACACATCAGCAGTAGATAAGGCAACAATGAGCTGGAACATAAATATCAGAAGTAAGGTCAAATCACATGTTTGGAATGTTTCTTAAATGTGAGAACTTCTACTTCATCTAGATAGTTGAACAAAGAATCTGCACAAAATATGCTTCAAAGAAAAAATAAAATGAACAAAATGTTAATATAAAAGTGCAAATGCACACTGTATACACAAAATGAAAATAAAAAAATAACCAAGGGATTTCAATTTACCAATAAGCTAGCCATCAGAGGAAAAGCTATATGCAAAAGAAGGAGAGGAAAATTATGTGAATATTTTTAACCTACAGACCTTTCTACTTTATTTAGAACCTAGGCTTAGAAAGCTAGAGAGAAAAGTAACAAGGAAATAAGGTAACTTGAATTTTATTACAACCAGTTCAGTTTTTATAAATATCCTTGACATTTTATTAAACACTTCTGATACTCAATTCTGTATCTACACAATTTTTTTCATACAGCTTTAATTTCACATCGATTACATCAAATTTCAATCTTTTACACAATTTAAATGCCACTTCTTTAAATGTAATCCATTTGACTTTAATCATGAAGTATAAAGTTTCAAATAAAACAAAAGGAAAGCAGCAAGATCTAATAAACCAGTAATGAAATCACATGCTGTAAGTTGCTGCACATGCACATCTCTATATTTTCAAGGAGAAAATTTTCCAAAACTTATAACAAGAATGTAACTTTATGAACATATTTTTTAAAGTAGTTTTAATTCTGAAAATGTACTTGAGATGATATGTATGAATTTTCCACATTTAAAATCCTAAACATAAAAGCCAATATCATATAATCATGTCATAAATATCACATAACCATGCCATAAATATCATACCATGTCAAACTAAACTGCAGCATGAACACAGCTACTAAAGTATTTCAAGCAATGAAAAATGACTTAATTTTAGTCTTTATTTAAATGAATACATCAATTATGAGAAAGTGACAACAATAACAATAAAAAATCTAGTCTTTTATGCTAGTTATATAGCATAAAGTCGGATATCTAATATGCAGACCTGTGAAAAATTATTAAAAAAAAAAAAAAAACTCCACATTTTAAATCTAAGAATGGAGAATATAATATTCAACAAAAATACACAGATGTGCCATAAATGCAGTTTTCTGCTAACTAACTGAGATTCCTGCATGTCATTTTCAAACATCTTCTGGCAGGAGAATCTCATCATGGCCAATGATAGTAAGTTTATTGACCTTCAACTGATGGTGGCCATGATCAGACTTTCAATTCTTGAGTAACTGTGGGTAGTTTCTATTAGGTCTAAACAATAAATAAAGAACTAATGTTGCCATGCATACACATCTTACTAGATTCAAACCGATTATCTAAAATCTAGAATCCCTAAAGTCGAAATGAGTCCAGATCTCGGACTTTGCACCGCATTTTTATTATTCTTTATAAATAATAATATAATTATTCTTTATAAAGAATAATTTATTTTCTATATGTACATACAATTATCTTCATAAATGTACAAAATAAAAAATCTTATAAGGATTAATTAAAGGTTTGTATGAAAATTATTTATTAGTACTGAATTTCTACATAATATGGATTAATTTATTTCTTATGTACTGCACTTCCTCTTTTGCCTGCATTTTAGAGACTCTACCTTCCAAGTCAAACTTGAATTAGATGTATATCTACTTTTAGAATTATTATAAACTTGTAGAGTCATTAGGTTACACTGATGCATGAAATGTGAAAAATGTACAATGCCCTAGCCAAGATTCGAATTCTTGACCTCCCTTACACATATCGAATGTGCTTTCAGTTATACCACTAAGGCCTGCAGAAAGGAGGCAGAAAATTACTTACATACTAATAACTCATTTAACTTTTAAAACTGTGTTATTTAGCATACACAATTTCCATCCATTTACTATTTTTGCCCAATATCATTTAAAGATTTTTTAAAGTTTTCTACATTTAATAGATATATGTTTCTTGCTGCCATTTTAAAATATGACTTCATTTTCCAATTCATTAATATGTACCATGACTTCTTATGCAGTTAAAGAATAATTTCGTTATCTTCCCACTACTTACAGTTTGAATACTTCAAAAAATTTTTAAATGCAATTTTTAAACATATTTTTGTGGGTACATTTCAACAAAAATAAATATAGTTAAAATTCTGAAATTTGATACAATTACCTTTTAAATAGTATTCAAAATGCTGTGCATGGAAGTGGTTTAAAATTTCAGGTTTCCTTTTGGCATCTTTACATAGGTTTTTTGTTGCTTTCACAATCTGCTGTTTTCCATCCTCATGAGATAATAAATACACGTATGTATTTTCTGTTGCATGACCATTCTTCCCTGTAAAAAAATAGCAAATAATAAGCAAAAAAGATTTATTTAATTAGATAATTTTAAACAGTTTTTGAATGCTGTTAAAAGAATTCTGTTCGCTGCACATCTAAGACACAAATTTCTAAATAAGTTAAGTCGATATTTCCTTTTTGTATCGTGCAGATTAGATAGCATGCATTTCCATTTTTATGTTATTTATTTGTTTTTTTAAAATTTAAAATGCAGTTTATTGAGATAATTTTTTTAATGTTTTGGAGTGCATTTTACTTGGAAAGGCATTGCATGTAAACAGGAATGGCGCCAATTTTCGCCAAGGGGATATTTATCCCAAAGATATTTGTAAACAAAATTATTTCAGCATTAAACTAACAATCTAAATTGAATTTGAAAAATCACTTTATCACACTGTTTTGCCATCTTTAAAGAGTGTACATGTGAATATTTGAGCTCAATAACTTTTCACAAAATAGTTTAAATACTAATGACAAACATTTGACCACAGCAACAAATAATACGAGTCAACTAAATAAAAGCTTCTAAAAATGTACAATTATGCTTCTTACATCATGTAATTCTTACCCTTATTAAATAGCCTAAATGATTTTCATTTCGTATCAGGTAATGTTAAGTAATGTTTAAGATAATACAAATACAAATTATGTGAGAATTCTTCTGTTTACGAAACCAACTTGAGCAACATTTGGATTTTCTGAGTAACATAATAGAACGTGGTTGTCTTTCAAAAGTAAAAAATAAAACCTATATGTAATAAATAGCAAATTAGCTATGTAAGATAATCAGCTAAAGTAACCAACAGGAAATACTATTCTCTATGTCAAACCTGATTATTATTTTAACCAAAGTCTTAAGAATTTTATTTTAAAACAATAACTAGAAAGGTCCTCTTTTCTTTTGCAGCTGCTTTTATAAATGATGTTAATTCTCAATGGCAGTTTGTAGTCAATTTTTTTTTAAGTGAGCTATTAACTTCAATTCTTAACAAAAATATTTCTTTTCTACAAATTGAACTGACACAGATCAGGTGGCATAAATATTTTATAGCACTCTAAATTATAGTTGAAATTATCTTTGTTTGTTTCCTCTTCTAAAATTAAAGACCTACTATGAAAATTCTGAACTATTTTGAAATTTGAGTTATTTGTCAAAATGTATTTTTCCTCCAAATCTGATTATTTTCTCAGTTAGTAAAAAATTAACAAATTTCCACTTTAGGTTGTTATTTCAGCAATCATATCATCAATGAAATATGGAATGAGAGTTGGACTGTATTGGAGAGCTCGTTGCCTAATGGTCAATGGCCAGGCATTTGATAAATAAAATAAAATATGGAATGAGAGAAAATATATATATATATAAAAATAAACTATAGTAACTGAGAATAAAATTTTATAGTAATTGCAACATACATATTTATTACATTTAAATAGTATTAAGCAATTGACAGAGAGATATCTGGTATATGGCCAAAGCTATTATGCTAAAGCGCAATGATGCCAGCTCCATGAAATTAGGCCCTTAGGCACATAACACTGTAGGATTCTGGACATGGCCCCTTTTAAAGTTAAGCTAACTAATGAATAAATTACAATTATTCCTAGTTTTTTACTGTATTCACATATTTTAACTTAGCAAGCATTAAATGATAAATTAATTGTTAATTTTAAGTGAAATTTTATGGTGTATGATTCAGTGCCAAAAACAACAACTTATAAATAAAAATTAGAAAAAAAGAAAAAGTAAAATTTTTTATATAGAACATGCAAAGAAAAATACATACTAATGGTATTATATACAAAGGGAACTTTTCCATCACTAAATACCATATTGAAAGTATATTCCTTCTTCAAATACAGCTTTTTTCGAAGATTGGCTTCTTCATACAGTTTCTCCCCATTAGCTTTTATGAAACCTTTAAATAAAATATACATTAAGTAACAAGCAAAAAATTAAATAATGGTACATATAACAACTTTTTAAAGCATCTTAATCCAACAAAAAATATACAGGCATCAAAAATATAAAATACGGTTTCTACAATTAAAACACTCATTTTATTCATAACTTAATATTAGATCCGCGCTTTCTCAGCATCGGAAAAAAAAAAAAAAAAAAATTACTCCTGAAGAAGAGAGTTATGCCCCCTGTTCTTCTGTGAGAAGGCTTAAAATAATTTTATTCAAAATCTACGTCAATCTAAGGCTGCTTTATATTATCTAATTTTAATAATGCAATAAGCTGGAAGAGAAATATTAGCTTAATTATCACTCACATAAAAAATATTAAATATACCTCATTGTACTTACTCACCATTCAGAATCTTCAGAAAAATCATGTCACAGACATGAAATTTGCAATGAATTAATATTGTTATTAGAAGGTACTGACGTATTCTCTATTAAAAAAAAAGGATAAAATTACATTAGCCAGGATGGCATAGTTCCTGTTACACTGTGAATTTTTCGACTATTCTGTTCAGGATAGTATTCTAAGCAAAGAAATTTGGATTTTTTGGTTTACATATAAATTTCTATCATCTCACAATCATTTCAGGCACTTATACATTATCACAAATGCCTTCGTAAAATTCGCCAAATTTTCAGAATGTGCTAAACTCTGGTAACTATGTGCATAATTATTCAAACAACCATGCTAATAACAGTCCTTTAGGTCCCTTGGTTTTATCGCAACCACCTGGCACAATTTGGCGATGTTTTAAAGAAGAAAAGAATGGTAATTTCAAATCAGAGAAAAGTTATTCATTTCATATCATACATGTTATTAGGTACATATCTTAACTTTAGTTCGATATTTATCTTTCATAACAATTTATACAGCTGTTTTCAAATGGCATCTCAAGCATGTAATTATTTTAATCTACCACAGTCTCACCAGCCATTTCTAACTCTTCAAACAAAATTTAACACTTATCAATTCTTTATTCCAGCAGTATATAAATCTGACTGCTGTAGTAAATGACAGAAAACTATTCTCAAATCAGTTACCACTTTGAATGCTAACATGTTTGTCATACTTTTTTACTTTGTATTTCCAAAAAAGGTTGTGGTTAGGCTATATTTTAGGGTACCTGTTAAATTATCACTAAGTTGTAGTTTCATTTATGGTAACCTGACCCCACATACACTCCAGCAAATTTTTCAGAGAGGTGAAATCGCAAATTTTATTTGAAAATAAAAATTCAGAATGGTAATGACAAAGAAAAGCACAAAGTATACAAAGATTCTACAATTCAAAAGATGTGCAAGAATAAATAATAATTTTGATAAAAATTATAAACTTTTTTTTTGGGGGGGGGTGTATGTGTGTGTGTGGAGGAGGAAAGTTTTCAAGAATTTGTAATACAGAAAAACATGTATATTAAAAAAAAAAAAAAAAAAGACACTATTAATTTTGTAGTAATAAATCTAATAATAAAATTTACAACTACAGAATACAATCAAATTCTGAATATTTAAAATACTGGTACAGTCAAAAGTCTTTAATCTGGACTCGTCGGGGCTTCGGCAATTCCGGATTATTGGTTTTTTTGGATAATAGATCATCAGTTTAAATCAGGTAAATGGCATGCAGAAATTATAATATTAAAAATATGAAACTGTGATTTATGAAATAAAGAGCAATTATGATCTAAAGGGTATCAAAATTTACAAAAAAAAGCTTAATATTTATTTGTTTACTTTATTAAACATTTCTTTCAACGCGCGCATGTGTAAAGCATACATTACGCATAGTCGAAATTAGAAAATTGCAACCAGAAAACTATTTGATGTGTATTCGTGATATTTATAATGTCGAGGAATTTGATTTAAATCATATCAAAGACAGAGTACATCGAGATGAAATACTACATTTAGGAATTATAAGCCAAATAAAATAAAAACATCTGCTCTGAAGATAAGGATAATGCTGACAGATCAAGTTCCAGTTCATTGTGCACCGCAGCATTTTCCCCCTCCCCCTGCAGAGCAGCGTGAAATTGATAAACAGAATTTCGGAGTGGTTAGATAAACAATAGGATCTATGCCTTTTTCCATCAATTTTTGCAGCAATTCCACTTTTTGTTTGATGGTCCATCGAAACATGCTTTTGCTTTATAGTAGATTCCTGTGGCCAGCTCCAGAATCGAAAATTCTTTTTGACATAATCGAAAGTTCAAGCTTACTTTTATAAAATTGCTCTAACAGTCTGCAAAAAATAATAAGCCGGATCCAATTCAAAGATTAAGGAACATCACAATTGTCACATTAACTGAAATAGATAATTAGATAATTTTAGCTTAGCTTATACTGTCCGTTATACATTAAACGCGCATGCGTAGACACATATGTGCATGCGTAAAGGTATTATGCGCGTGCGTTAACGGATTATGCATTGATCATTCCGGATCATGGACGTCTGGATTAAAGACTTCTGACTGTACTTTCTGTTAGGGGGAGGGACTGGACACAGAAATGCATGCATATATGTAACACTATATGTTTTAATGTAGAAATGAAAACTATACTGACAGCTATTAATTTTAATTTAGTTAGCAATATAAAAACATGAGGCAGAATAGCCTGAAAAGTACCAAAGGTCAGTCAAATTTTAATTAATGAAAATTACCTTAAAATCTGCATTATCATAAAACTGTAGAATATCACACTTCCAGTTTTTAAAATGTCATGCATCATAAAAGGCTAAAATTTTTGTTTTTGCTCTAATCTTTCTACATTTTAATCACACATACACTAAGAACATTGTTTTTTTAATCTAATGTGAGAAAATTTTCTGCTAGTGTTATTCATTTCGGATTGGACCAATGAAAATCATACAATCAATGAACTACATTCAGTAAAAAAATTTGCTTTCTGCAATTATAATGGGAAAGGAATATAACTTTGTTAAAATGATTTTGATATATTTCAAATTGTTAACTTTGCAGAATGCATTATAAAAGCTGGACACACAAATTACAGCAAAACCTCAGTAACTAAATATGCTGTTTCATCATTATACAACATGTTTATTAAAAGTATCATATTTGCTGAATACAGTCAAAAGTCTTTAATCCGGACTCGTCGGGACTTCGGCGATTCTGAATTATCGGTTTTTCCAGATTATAGATCATCAGTTTAAATCTGGTAAGATTGCATGCAGAAATTATAAAATTAAAAATATGAAACCATAATTTATGAAATAAAGAGCAATTATGATCTAAAGGATATCAAAATTTACAAAAAAAAAGCTCAATATTTATTTGTTTACTTTATTAAACATTTTCTTTCAACATACGCATGCATAAAGCATACATTACACATAGTCGAAATTAGAAAATTGCAACCAGAAAACTATTTGATGTGTATTCATGATATTTATAATGACGAGGAATTTGATTTAAATAACAAAGATGGATTACTTCGAGACTAAATACTACATTTAGTAAGAAATCATAAGCCGAATAAAATAAAAACATCTGCTCTGAAGATAAGGATAGTGCTGACAGATCAACTTCCAGTTCATTGCGTGCCACGACGTTCTACAGTCTTTCTGTTACTGAAACATTAAGGTTATCTACATCTTCTAAAAACATTCTTATTCTAAAAACCTCTTATCATCAAATATGTACTTCCTTATCACACTGCTTGATCAATAATTGCTCCTTTTCCTGCTCCCTTTCTAAGAATGGCATCAGTTTTGGGAGTTCATGCTGCTATTGCTGTTTACCTAAATTTACCAGCGAGATTTGTAACTAAATGAATCAGTTTAATCACTAATGGCTAATATCATATCAATCCTCTTACCTTATATTTATTAATATGTCAATCAGTCCCGGATCTAGTGTGGGGGGCAAGTCATGGTTTCTGCCCCGGGCGGCAAATTCAAATATAACGCTGGATCGTATTTGATATGTTGTTCGCTAAAACAGCTATCTAGTGTTAGTACAATGTTAATAGTTTTAAGGCCAAGTTTAAAAACTTCTTTTAAGAAGATTTCTAATTAAATACTAGGAACCCTTTTAAAAGAACATGAGTTAAAATAAAGTTAAGTACAGCCAATTACAACTATAAATATAAGATCAGAAAGAGGCCAATAGAGGGACTCCAGGCGTCATGGACTGACCCTATCAGTAATGTCTGACTGCCCGGGCACGGTGTATTCAAATGAGAAATAGAACGATAGCTGGTTGAAGAAGTCGCCTGGTTTCCATAGTAATACCTGCTGCGAAATGGAGAAGCATTGTAACTATTTTCTAAGAGCTAACCCAAAAAATTAACCTTAGGTCATCCTGGACAAATGAAATAATTCAAATTAATATTCGTCTAGTAGGACAAGACATCATCATTATGTCTTTAAGATGAAGCAAGGCATTTTGATTTTTTTGCAGCCAGTCGGCAACTTAGGCTCGCTTTTGGTTTGACTCGAAACATTGGAGTGCATTTTGGATTTTAAAGCTAGATTTATTAATTTTATGGTTTCTTTTTAGTTTTCAGGTCACTTCTGTATACTTTTTTAGGTCTTTTCTTCCTTTTTTTAGATATGCTTGCTTTTAATAGCCCGCACTATATTTAGCAAGACGCGACCATTTATTTAGGTCTGTTCAGTGTAATTACATCAATTCTTAGTTATTCTTAAGGCAATTCATAGTGAATTTCACTTAGATTAAAAGAAAATATCTGCCTGCTGAAGGGGAGAAAAGCGGAATATAGAAAATGAGCCAAAGATAAGGCCAAATAGAGAAAACAATTTCAGCTAAGATGAAAAAATAACTCCACGGAAGAAGTAAACCGTTAGACCCTGCCGCAATTCCGATTATGCTGAGATTCTAGAGGGTATTAAAGTCCTTCTAATGAATTTACTGGAAATATAAAATATTTAAAAGAAATTAAACTATTTCTTTTGATGTGG